GAAATGCAGTTCAAGAAGAAGGTATGTTTGTGTGTGTGTCTGTGTGTGAATTATTTTAATTATAGTACTGTGGGTGAGAATGCTTGTTGAATTTTAATGTTTTTGCATGTCATAGTCATTTCTTCCTAGCATTTTAAACTAAAAATATATTGTTCATTTAATATGTTCTTGTGTTGTGAAACCTTTAGGAAGTCTGAATTTCACATACTTCACTTAAGTTTTTTGTTGTTGTTGTTATAGTTTTTCTGCATTACATTACTTAATTTGGATCACTGTAAATATTAAAAACAAGTATATAAAAACTCTTTACATGGCAATCAGCCTGCAAGGGCTGATGTAGAGTCTGTCAGGCATTTGTTAGCATGTAGTAACACATGTAGCGCTAATAGTTTTTAATCAGGGCTTTATTTGGTTGAATTACATGTTCTCTGTTTGGAGAACAAAACCCCTTCACTCACACTGGCCTTAGTGTTTGGTGGGAGTGTGGTAAAAAATATAATAAAGGATCTTAATGTTGTTGTGCTCTTGAGCAAGGTGTTATATCACAAAACCTCAGCATGGGCGATGCACTGTATTAAACATGTAAACAAGACAATTGTGCTAATTTATTCTTCTTACATTTTAGATTTTATCATCATCAAGTGTGGTTTAAAGTGCAGGCAATCACCACATTTCCACTGCTGTTACTGTACATCAACAGTAATTAGACGTGATGGTCTTATTACACATTTTAAAATGTGTAAAAATTCAGCATCTGGACAACCTCCATCCTCAGCATCAGCAGCACCATCTCCAGCATCAGCAGCACCACCTCCATCTCCAGCATCAGCAGCACCACCTCCATCTCCAGCATCAGCAGCACCACCTCCATCCCCAGCATCATTGTCAACAAAAAGAGTACGTGTCCGGCAGCAAGTCAGGGTGACTTGCACACACTGTGGCATTAAAATAAATCAAAGGAACTTGCTGGTTCATATCAACCGAAGACACAGGCAAAGGGTAGCAGATATTACAGCAAAGCGGCATCTATCATGCCAATGCATTGATGCCAAAAATGGCATCTTTGCTGTTGATAAGTCATTCTATAAGCCATGCTCTCCTATACATGTTCAAAAAAAACATGGGGTGCAAGCCAAAAAATAATCTGTGAATTGGATGAATGCAACACAAATGCTGAATTTGCAGTGAGGAGTGGAATTGTTCCTTATGAGTGCATTCATCTTAAGTCATTGCTCTTCTGTCCCCGCTCAGACACTACACCCATCATTTTAGATGAGGAGGTACTGACAGAAATGGTTACTTGTAGGTTTTTTGGGGATGCAAGGAAGCAGAGCTGCTTAAACCAACAAAAGGCAGCTACTGATGCAGGTGTTCCACTTTCTGTTGAGGTGACTGTTGGAGGGCCTCCATCCAAAAAGTTCATTTCAATATATGAGCCAAAAGTGTCATACCACAGCAGACTGGGTAGAGTAATAGCAGCATATGATTCAAAAAAGAAGTCCTGGCACTGTCCATGTGCCAAAGCAAGACAGTCATGTCTTCATAAATCAGTTGCAAAATGGCATCTTTTTAGTACTGAACGACATCTGTTCATGACTGAAGCGAGTGTTATCAGGCCAGATCCAGTTGTGAATAATCAAGAGACAGATTCTGTATCCAAAGCAAAGCCAGGTGAAGATGAAGGACAAGCATATCCTCCTGATGATGCAGGCCTTCGTAGGATGGTTCACTATTTAATGGAAAAAAAAGCTCTTCCTGCCCAACTACCCCAGCATTTGGTCACTGGTTCCAAATCTTTGCAAGATCTTCCAAGGCAGTTGATACCAAAAGAAACATCATGCGTGGAGTGTGCCGGGCAACTTACTGAGCCACTGCTCATAACAGCAGATGCCAAACTTGTCACCTATACTGGTGTTTTAGATGGTGAGACATGTCAAAATATATCATCCATATCATCTTAGCCATACCAATTTAACTAATGTTAAAAACAAAGTAGAGGTCAGTGCACAATGGACTTGCTAGATGATAGAAAGCAATAACAATACTGTACTTTTTTCTTTTCCTTTCGTTTTTTAGGCTTTTCTACATACTGCAGGGCATGTCCTGACTGTGGGCTGATGTACAGATATCAAGAATGGACTGATGGAATTCACAATTTCAATGACCATATTCTCATCACCCTTCATTTGTGTATTGTACTACGTGCATCACTTCAGGTAAAAACACATTTAGTGTTTTACTGTTCTTATTTTTTTAATGTGTGCCTTACTATGTTTTATACTTTCTTAGACTCACCATTCTGTAAGCCGAGCAATTGAAGTCCTTGAGCAAACAGAAAATAAGACCTTCCCTAAAAAAGCCACAATACTCCATGCCTACATGCACTTTGAAGCCATGACCTCACACGGCTACTTATATTCTTGTTACAAATGTGGATACAATCCACCAGTGGTGGTCATGGACCTTCACAGAAAGGGTGTATTCAATATGCCTGGTAAGTAACAGAACAAACAGCTTTTGATGAATAAAAGAAAAATGACTATTTTTTTTAACACCATGCTTAAATCTGCAGTAAGTGAAATGGAGGCTCCACCAGCACACTTTGATGGCACTGTCAATATCAAACAATTTTGGGACTCTGTGACGTCTGAAATCATTTGCAGTGGCTTACTTACCTGTAAGTAATCAACTTACTTGTGTCTCTTCACTTAAAGTATAGGGCTTGTCTGTTCCCCACAAGATTGCAGTGATAGTATTGTGATATAGACTGCATGTTACTACTATTGTTTCATCTTAATCACAGTTGTTGACTATGGCAACATTCTTAATTGAAAGTAAATTTGAGTGTAGGTTCACACAAGTTACTAACATGTCTGCTTCTGTTCCTGTATTTACTCAGAGTTATTGATTACAGCTGCATGGTTTTTCCAAAAAAAACATGCGTTTTTTTTTTCAATTTCAAGGTGGTCGAAAGAACCCCTTTGTGGTTGTTCCAAGTTATAACAACTGGGCTCCTTGGATTGGACCAAAAAATAGAAGGGATGACAAAGTTTTTAACACAGAATATGAAAAGGACCAAGACAGGCTACTGAAATGGCAGATCTCCAAATGACAGAGGAGAGGCTCCAAGATGCACTAATTAATCTCAAGGTAAAGGCTTGTTACACTGATCATTAATTCACTGTGTTTGAATCAATAAGGAGAAAATAATATGACAAGTTTACATAGATACAAAGTTTTAAAAGGTGTTAGAAACACACACATATATAGTGTGAGTAATGTTCTTATCAAGTATTTACGTAATACAGTGGGATATGGAATTGTGCATGCTATTTGTTGACCATAAAGCATTATTTAAAAAAAAGTATTTACGAAATACAGTGGGATATAGAATTGTGCATATGGTGGCGCTTCAAGCCCCGCCCACTAGATCCAGCGAGGGGGAGCTAAAACACCAAAGAAGAAGAAGAAGAAGAAGGTCAACAGGCAGCTTCGCGCTTCTGCAGCTGACTACTGAACTAGGGAGCTAGTGAGCTGACTACTGAAGTAGTGAGCTGACTACTGAAGTAGGGAGCTGACTACTGAACTAGGGAGCTGATTGAGATGCAACTCCGAGATTTAGTTTTTGAGATTGGTTTTTCGTTGTTGGATTATTCTCATCTTTAACATGACAGATTGTCCAAACACACAGAAAACTTCCTGCTGAGATCTACACACTGTTATAAAGACGGCGTTTATTAAAGTGGAGAATGAAGACTGAAGAAAGATTCAGAGTCAAACAAGAAGATACTGAGGAACAAACAGGTTGGTTTATATTCTCATTTGATGCTTATTAAAATGCCAAGCTCTACAGGAATGCATTATATCTTTTGAAGCATGTCCAGGTGTGTAAAATACTTGAGAAGTTGAACTAAATTACTGTACTCATTACTTTGGGGGATTTATATTTTACCGAATTACATTTTCAAACTTTTAGTACTTTTACTTGATCGCATTTCTGAAGAAAACCTTGTGCAGGGTTCGTACGGTCATGAAAAACCTGGAGAAGTCACGGAATTTTAAAACGGCAATTTCCAGGCCCGGAAAAGTTTTGGAAAAATAAATAAACCCAGAAAGTGCGGAAAAGTTGTGGAAATCTATTTCACAAAAAGATTAAAATTGTTTAATCAGGTCCTGAATTTTGGTGCGGGATTGCGCATGGGCTATATCGCATCGGTTTACTCATTCCTGCAGCTTTTGACTTTAAAACGATGGATATTCACACATTTATTCACTAGCCTATAGCATGTAGGTTTGATGAATAAATAAATCCACACAGAATATCAGATCATTTGAAAACCGCGCGAGTGATTCAGCTGTACTGCGTCTTCTCTCTTTGACTTTCTCTTAAAACGGCTTCACATCAGCATTGCGGCACGCTGCGATACAAAACTTTCGCTCGCGTTTCAGTACAGTTGACAGAATTGTCACTTGCCTAATCGCGTCATTGTTGCATCGTCACACAAATGACAAATGTATTATTTATTTACACGTCTTTTTAAACGCAGTCGCTTCCAAAGCGCGCTCGTTCATATAAGCCGACTTGGGAGTACCAAATTGAGTTTGGTACCAAACAAACTCGGTAGAACCCTGCACGGACCTCAAACATATGCCCTAGTTCGCCCTTTTTTCGTTCTCTCTTCTCCAATTACACCGCTGCTGTTGTAGCCATTAAAATAGTTCAGTTTCGTTTTTAATGGCAAAGTGGTTATATTTATTTTAATTTCTTTATTAACCCTCTTAGCGCCAAAGTCGCAAAATTGCGACAAGACGTCATACTTAATCAAATAGACTGTAGTTCCTAATATGGTGTAATATCTCATTTGTATTCCCTACCACTAGATGGCAGACATGTAGTACATCGATTCTAGACCAAAATTACGTCACCTTCCTATTCAAAGTGTTGTTTGAATGTAACTCTACACCCTTGCCTCATTTACTATACGCCGATTTATGAATATGCAAATTAGCCCCGCCTCCATTCAGTCACACCAGCCAGCGCCTCCTGATCCACTGAACTGTAGTAAACGCAAAACAATGGCATACGCGGATAATGACTGATAAAACTATGTTTTTACTAGCGGACAGCTACAGTGAATACGGTAACATTTGTAAGAATTCCAGAACCCTCAGACACTTTGATCTTCTGAGACGGATGATACACACACAGTGCATTAACATACAGACATCTGTTTCCACATCTCACTGAGAGAAAACGTGGGGTAAACCAAACGGCAACCTCCCGCTCTCTCTCGTGAAGCCAACAAGGAAGTGACTTAAACTGTAATTCATCGACTGGCCGCTAGAGGCTGGCTGCAAAAGGGAGTCAATCTCATAGACCCCCCCCCATGTTAAAATGCCCAACTTTACAGCAGAAAAAAAACATGTTGACAGCCTGGTTAAAAAAAATTATTTTGGTCTATATAGCTAATTTTGCCCTTCATGACAACTGTGAGGGGGGTGAATTTTTTTATAACTCATACGTTTAAATTATATTAAGCCTTAAAGTTCTGCATAATTAAGGGCGTGGCCACTTGAGTGGCAGGTGGATTGCCGCTGTTGTCACCACTTTCGAGCTAGGTGGGCGTGGTTTCAACAACCAGCTCCCGCCTCTTTGCCCATCTTTGATTATCCGGGAGTGACGCACGGTGACGCGCTGCCAAGATGACGATGGCCCGCTTTGCTTACTTAGTACTTACTTAGTATTTTATTTAGTGATGTGCCGATCATAGCTAATTCAGATTTTCTTTTCTTTCTTTTTTTTTTTTTAACTAGCAAATTGGCTGATACTGATTTTTAAGCAAATTTATTCATTGGCTATTTGCTTTATAACAAACAAACTGGCTTTAAACAAATATCTTGCCATTTGAAATTAGAGGCAACCACTGCATTTTAATCATGATCTGCACGGGCAGTTGTATTTGATTTGATTTAGATTAATTTAAGTAAGTAAAAAGGAATGGTCTGACTTTAGGTGTTATTTATTTATTTGCTACATAAAACATCTGCACGAAACAA